ATGCTAAGCTACTTATCTTTTGAACAAAACACATATTTTTTAGAATACCAAAACTCTAATTTAAAAAAAGTTCATTAGAGCATCTTTTTGGGATAGAGGATTTACAATTGAGAGATTTTACTTAGAACTTTTTAATTTGTCTTATTTATTTTACAATTTACATTGGTTTATAGAACTAATAAATAATAATATGTCATCCATATGATTAATTTATCTAGAAAAATGTAAAATTCATAACTTCTTCATCAAGTGTTAGTAACTTTTAAAAAAAATATATATATTTATAAATTACCAACTAAAGAATATTAAATGTTTTAATATCTTACTATTAAAAGAATACACCCTAAATAATAAAATGTCCTTATTGATCATTTTGCAATGTCAAACAGCTATAAGCTTTTAGCTATTTACCAAACACTTATTTAAAAACTGCTAATGCAATCCGCTGGTCAAATCAGCTAATATAATCCGTTATTCGCTGATAGAATTCACTATTCGCTATCTGTTATCCGTTGATCGCCAAACAAGAATATTTTTCGATATACGTAGTTGCACAAAATATAAGCCTAATACCTAGCTTAAAAACCAACAAAGTACTGTCAAGTACAAATCGAAAAGAAAAATTTATTTCATAAAGCTTAAAAGCCAACAAAGTACTGCGAAGTGAAAGCCGAATAGAAAAATCTATTCAATGAGGCTTGAAAGCTAACTAAGCACTGCCAAGTATGAGCAAAATAGTGAAACGTATTCGATGAAACTTCAAAGCCAGCTAGAACAGTAAAGTAAGTGTCGAATAGAGAAACTTATTCTAGAAACTTTCGAAAAAAATCCTGAATAACATAAGATTAGCTAAAGGGAATAAAAACTTCCAAATCACGGACACCCATCGCAATCTATACATAAAATAGTACTGACAAACGTAAAACCGTTGGATGAAAATCAAAACGTCTCACATCCAAACCAAAGAAACGAATAGGACAAATTGTTTTTGGTCACCACATAAAACAAGTTAAAAATATTTGAAATTTTCTCTAACACAAGCTCTTCACTAGTCACCTCCCAGGAAAATGTGGATGCCCTTAATAAAAATGGCCTTGTGAAGCTTGTGGGTATTTGAAGGGTCATCAAAGCAGTTGTAGATGATTGGTTGAAGTTCAAGCTGAGTCAAGGCACTGGTTGCTATATATTAGGGGTGTCTACCCTTGTACTTTATACTCTTTGTGGTGTTTATAAGGTCGTGCTTGTTTATCAAATATCTAGAAAAAAAAACTAGAAAAAAATTTATCTCAATTCAAAATCTGATTCAATCTCACTGTCATCAATATTATCAATATAATTAAATAATATTATCTAATCATTTTTACACATTACATGAACTCTAATTCATTATTCATCCATTCACATAATTTTAGTTACCTATCATTTTTAATGATTTATCTCCTACTTTTACATTAAAATAATTTTCATTATTTTATTTTAAATATTATTTTAATATATTTTTTAAATCTCACTAACAACTAATGATACTAACTTTATTTAAATAATCATACTAACTTTATTTAAATAAACTCTAGTTAACACAAAAAAATTATAAACAAGGACGCCCTAACTATTCGGTACTCCTATCGTTTCACAAGGAAAAA